CATGCACAATTTGGTTGTGGTCGCCAGGTTGTCCGCATCGCTGACCAGCGGCACTTGCATGAGTCAACACATTTAGCCACGGAGGCTAACACCAAGATCCAAGAGTTCAGTTGTTCTTGACTGTCGGAGCTTGACAGCTGCATGGCATCCTTTTCTCGCTGTATCGCCACCAAATGGGTTCCGGCGAGCATAAGCTCAGTAATGCTGGGGGCACTGCGCTTCTGAAGCGCAGGCTCAAGGATATCAAAGCACTGGATGCCATTTTTGCCGTTTTCAATGCCAGCGATTCTGTGGATTTAGAGACGCCTCGATCTATGCCATCAACGGTTTCTTGCACATCACTCGGAAGAGATAGAAAGCGAAAACACCGAACAAGCCTGCAGCAGCCAAGGTCGCTGCTGCCACAGCAGCGGGCGGCAAATCTCAGGGAGGCAAACGCAAGCACAAGAGCAAGAAAGGCAATGACAAGACGTGCGAACATTTTTTAATCACACCTTTTTGCAGCAGCAGCAGCAGCAGCAGCAGCAGCAGCAGCAGCAGCAGACTCCAGTGCTGCCCTGGGCTCGCTCCCGCACTAGGGCATCGAACGTCATAATATTATTAATGATACAAATAAGAACCATGATAAGAAGAAGAAAAAAATCAGCGTGCAAATATAAGAAATAATAACCCTCATATTCACTGTATTAAGGAACAGTGGGCGCAATCGTCTGTGCAGGGCCACCGGCGTAGTTGGCGGAGTCAGCAGCGTCAGCATCGTAGCGGGCTCACCGAGGTGGCTGTCAACAACGCGCCGGCGTGCGGGCCCAACTCGGAACGGAGCAAGGGGCGTCAACGATGGCAGCATCACGCCGTCGCAGAAGTAGGAGTTGCGAGTGGCGACGCTGCCAGTCGTGTGGCCTGTCACCGAGGCCTGCGTTTCTTACCGCCTCAGGCCACCCGGCAGCGTGGGTCCAGTCGGGCCACGCGTCCCAGCGTCGGGAAGCAGTGGCGTGCCAGGCGGCGTCACGAATGCCCAACTGGCGTCATGAAGCCAAACGTGTGCGAGAGTCGGATTTGTTGGAACGTGTTGCGCTGGCCAAATGCAAACATAAGTTGCCTCAAGCGATAGAGTGAGAGTCAGGCTCAGTCTGCTGAAACGTGGGTAGTTGAGACTGGTATTGGCCAGAGTCATGTTGAGCAGTTTTAATTTACGTTCTTGTCAACGGATTTGCTGCTGCCATCAAGCGCACATGCCGGGCCCACAAATCAGCCGTTATGGGTTTTGGACGTAGCCGTGTGGTTGCACCTCTGTTTCACTTACGGGACCTTGTCTGCTCAGCTACCGTCATGTTTTGTCGAGCGCATTTTCCAAACCGACATGCAGCCGTCTGCTTGGTTTCTGGGATTTGTATCTAGCTTTTAACTTACGCAATGACGAGTGTGGATGAATAAATGGGGTCGTCGGTGGCTGCTATGGCCCCAAGGTAGTCCTGCTGTTGTTGTGCTGGACAAAACCGGAGTCCGAGCCGTGGGGGGTTCCTCACTTGCATTCCGGGGCACAACGATGGACCTCATACCGCCGAATTTCAACCTCGGGCAGCACTGCATGCCGTCTTCTAGGGATGCATGCGCAGGGAGACCGTTGCAGTCAGGCAAGTCTGTGAGTGAGAGCATGTCGGCATCTGTTGGTCCTTGTGATCCTCTTCCTGTTTTTAACATCTTGGAGCATGGAGTGCCAGTGATTTTCCGGATGGGTCATTGCACACCGAGTATCCTCAAAGATTGGCTCCTCTTTTGTCGTTGGAAATGGGACTGGGGGGAAGAGTGCCAAGGGAGGAGGGATGCAGAGTCCGGGGGAGAGGATTTCTTGGGATGCTTCTGACACTTCCGAAACTGGCTCACAATCAGGCTCCATTGCAGGCTGGAACCTAGATACGGTTCTCACTCGTGAAGGCCCAGGTTCGGGCCACTCTCCCAGAAGTCATGCAGCATGCTAGGCGCCTTGAGAATCGTGTGCTTTCCATGCTCCTTCGGAGTTTGCCTGAAGCCCTGTTGTCTGACAACTCCGAGACAGGTGTCTTCTGGAAATCGCGCAGGTGGCTTCATTGGGCAAACACAGCCGATTGGACCAGATTGGAGCCTCCATTCCAGACGTCAGCTAAGCCACCGACCAGTAATTGGGGCTTAGGTGGGGGGGGGCTCTTGGGATGCGGCACTTTTTGGCTGGACCTCATTGGAAACTCGTCCTCAAAGTCCAAACCCTGCGAGGTCGAGCTGCTGGATGTTGCCGGGATTCAGCGCGTGCCAGCGGAAGTCCAAGTGCGAACCGGGGATTCGGTCCTCACACCCCGAGTGTGGCAGGTCACATGCGCGCGGCATGTCGCGACATGTCGGGATCGCATTCCTCAAAACTGTCGTGGTGTTGAGGGCCTCGGATCGAATCACACTTGCAGCTGATGGATGCACGGGGGTAGTGTGATGTCATCTCACCAGCATCATCGTCATCATCATTGTCATCATGATCCTCATCGTCCTCATGATCATCATTGTCGTCACCATCATTCACCATCATCATCGCCGTCATGTTCATGGTCGTTGTCGCCATCGCCATCGCTATCGTCGTACTCGTCGTGCTCGCCGTCATCATCATGACAATGGCCGTTCGTTAGTCGCTGCTGTTGGAGCGGGATGCTGGACTCGCTCATTCGACCCCAGGTGCATGTCTATTTCTGCTTTTGCAGAGAGGACCCCGCCACAGCTACAACAACCTTACACAAAAGAACACGTCTAGCAATCCTCAATATCATCCGCAGACAGTTCGGAGCCCACTGTACTGCACTCTGCAAAAGAACTTTAGCACTACATTCGAACAACTAGAGTAACTAGATGTGTAAAGCCCCTTGGCTCTCGTGAAACGAACTTGACTGGCCATCTGTCTTTGCTCTCGGTGGTGAGGGTGCAACTCGGGTCTGCAATTTGCAAGTGAGACGTTCCGCACATGCTGGCGAATGCGTAGGCTTCTGAGACTTGATGACATTTGGTGGCACTGTCTACACCCTGAAACCGGGAAAGAAGCCCCGCAGCTTTCCTGCAAAAGCAGCAGTTCCACATGGCTGACGAGCTCTTGTTGTGCACGAGCGAGTGGTTGTGGATTAATGGCTGGCCAGTGCGGGGGTGAAGGGGCTAAAGGCACCACACCTCAAGATCGGTGCCTTCCTGAAAGAAACAGAACCCCCTCAGCTAAAGGAGGATGATACGCAGGTTGGGTGTGCAGGTACTCCAGGCATAGAACAGCGGGAGGTTGGGAAGATGTCGTATTTCTCTTGGTTGCAGAACTGCAATATCCAAGGGCGAGCTGCGTCAGGTTTGACGGGTGAAAGCAATGCAAGCATCCTCTGCGCCGCGGTACCTTTTCAGATGAACGCTCAAAAACTTAGCCCTGCTCCTCCTTTACGTGCTAGACTCTCAACACCCCAGCCGTGGCAGCGAGCGAGATGCTGGCATTCAAACTCGCCGGGGGCGAGCGCTAAACTCAGGCTGTTGGGGCGCCCACTTTGTCATGAAATCCCTGATCCACGACTCCAACGCAGCCCTACACCATACACCTCAACATGCCACCTCCAGCCTACTCTCTACCCAGTGGGTCCTCTAGGAAAAACGGGATCGGGTCTTAATTCTTGGGCTGAATGATGGGGTGATTGGAGCGATGTCGTACCTGGAGTGCAATGCTACACCCTCGAGGCAATCGTGGCCGCCCCAACCTCGTCATTGCACGGTGCCTGCAAGCTGTCCATCCTTTGTTGTCCAGCTGCAACTGATAATTGTGCGAAGTGCTGGCTTCCAAGATATGCCCAACGCCTCTCAATCCCATGACCACATGGCGTCCCAAAAGGAGACATCTGCCAGCGCTGCGAACGAGAGCTAGTGGAGCCACTGGTGTCTTCTCTTTGAGAGCTGCGTCTTCCCTTCACTTGATGGGACTAGGGTTAAGGGCCTCTATGGGGCTTTGCCATCTGTGGGAATCTTCTGGGCTTCGGATCTTAACATGGACTAGCATATGCAGCATATACTCGCATGCTCTGTGTGGACTCCAGACCTCCTCTGAAGATCTAAGTCCTCGCCGCAGCCATCATGAAAATGGCCCAGAATGGCTTGATCAACGCCTGACACGGGCCCAGGGCAAAAAACTCCAACGACGAGGCAAGTTCGCTTCATTTCGTCAAATTTGCAGTATAGTTGTCCCTTGGATGCTGCCTCCTTGCAATCGGATTCAGCTGGGTTCATTCTTCGGCAAGGCAGTCAAGCAAAATTGGAGACGAAGCCCTTGGCCTGAGGCCTTGAAGCACTCACAACTCACAACAGGACCGAGGCCCCTGCAAGGCTGCAAGGATATTGGCACTCCCACGCCCACAGCTTTGGTGGAGCAAGGTACCTTCAACAACTTGTCAACTGGCTCTCGTGATGCTGACGCACGGAAGCTAAAGGCAAAAGGCATCGTCCGATTTGCCTCATGGCCTACTCTGGCAACACTCTGCACCCGGCTGCAGTTGGCGCACCAAAATGTGTGGCGCTTCAGCGGCCTGAAAGGTACAACGGGATCCCAAAGCCTGAAAAACT